TGGAAGGGCTGCAATCACCAGCGTGACCAGGAGGCGGCCAACGTTGGAAGACTCCAGAGCACGGTGACGGCCAAGGAGACACGTTGGCAGAGCCGTTAGCCTCGGCCACCCTGGCCAAGACGAGGGCTGCGGAGGCGCTTGCCAGAGCAGAAGGAGTCGGGACCCAAGCTGCGTCACCCTCATCGGAAGAGGCATTCTCGGTCATATGTGACTCCAGCCTTGCAGCGACATCGATAATCTAGAGTGCTTGCAGGCAGGAACGAAGGAGTTTCGCCAGATCCGCGCTGACCTGATCAAGATCAAGGAATCCTTCCTGTCCAAGAAAACGGAGGTCAAGACATGCATGGACACGGCTGCGAAGATCAAGCAGGACATTGACTCACGGCTGGCCGCCAAGAAAAGGCGCGTCGACGAGGAGCACGGAAGCGACGCGGCTGCTGCCGGAGCTTCAGGAGCCGACCATGGCGCTGGCGTCAAGGAGGGCAGCGCGCCCGAGACGGCAGCACCATCGGGCTCGGCATCCGCAGCGGCGCGCAGGCATTCAGGGAGGAGGCGGCCCGGATCTCGGCGGCCGAGTTTGCGGCATCGGGGGGGGGCCGAGCAGCGGCAGGCAGCCTCGGGCGGCGAGGGTGCAGGCATGGGTCCAGCGGCTACGCCGACAGGGCGGCCTACGGCAGCGGGCGCAACCGGATCGCCCTCGCCTTGAAGGGCAGTGCCTGGCGCCGAGATCGGCAATCAGCATCGCCATCAGGAGCCGCGCGTCGAGGCGCCAGTTTTGTCTTCACTTGATCCGGATGATACGAATGATTCGCCCCCCGCTTGCGTCGCGAATGCCATGATCATGGGGGGTCGTGCTTGGTCGCGCCCTCCAGATCCATCAGCCTCGCATAAGCGCCTGCGGGATGCGTTGAGACTCATGCCCCACGGAGTCAGTTGCGCACGTGGGATGCCATGGCGAAGTTGCAAAAGCTACGAACGGCTGCCAACGCTTCTCGCCCTTCGGGCAAGCAAGGTTCAGCCACGGAGCGCCCCAACGAAAGGGGCGAGTTGCCGCCGGCCGCGGGCCACCTCCAGGCGGAGACGCTCGAGGAGGCCACATTTTAGGGTGCTCAAAGCCACCGAGCGCGACGCGCTGGGCGATCTTGCACGTGGGCCATCATTTTTTTGACGCTGAGAGGAACATCTGGCAGGTTTCGCCAACTGAGAGGCCTTCTGAACACGCCCCAACTGCCTTGGATCTGCCTGGGCGATGGGAACGCGAAGCCGAACGCGCCGCCCTCGCCCGGCGTCGTTCGCGGGGTAGCTGGTCGAGCCCTCCTGCCACCAGCGGAATGCACACGCGACGCCGGCGAGAAGGGGGGCGCGATGGACTGCGGGTCTACTCTCTGGAGGAGCTCTGCCGCACGTCGCCGAACGAGGGGCGGCGCGGGGCGCCCCGCGGAGCCCGCACCCCCCCCCCCCCCCCCCTCACCACTTCACCACCAGGAGCTCTGGCGCGCAGCTTCTGACCAGGCGATTTGAGCGCGCGAGTCGTCTTCCACGGCTGCCCAGGCCCACGCGCCCAGCGACGCCTGGGCCCAGGGCCTCCTAGGCCAAGCAAGACAGAGACGTTGCTAGAGCGTCGGCCGCGGGAAAGCGAACTTAACAGCACAGATGCAACCTATCCGGGGGGGGGGGGGGGGGCTTCCTCGAGCCCCGCGCTGAGCCCGCCGTCTCTGGTTCTCTCCCCCCCGAGGTCGAAACGAGCGCCCCTGGAGAGGAACGCCTTGAGTTGTTTGAATTTAACGAGGAGGGCCCGCGGGCCTCCGGGATCAACTTCGCGGGCTCCCCCGCCGTCGCAAAACCGCCCGAGCAGAAAATCGGGCGAGAACGGCAGTCGCAGTCTTGAGCGCCGCGATGTTCCGAGCCGAAACGCGAGACGCAATGTCACTGTTCCATAATATAGTTTGGCTTCTGCGGCGAGCCCCACCCCAGCCGCAGGCAATGGGTCGAGCCGGGCAGGGCCTCGCCCCCCAGAAGTGGCCGCGGCAGATTTGGTCGGGCCCAGTTTTTGAAAACCCCACGAGAGTTGCGGCGGCGGCCTAGGCCCAACCACCATCAGTTGGAGCCCCCCCCCCCCTCCGCACGCCTGCGCACCCATAGCCTTCTGGCCCAATTCTTGCCACGCCCAGTCGACGGGCCCATTGCGCGCCCAGTGGGTCAGCACTGTTGAGGACGTCACTCGCGCACGTCATCAGGTCTCTCCACCTGGCGGGCCGAGCAGGGCGCGGGGCGTTCGTTCGCGGGGGAGGGAATTCACCAGAGTACGCGGCCCAGCTCCGTTGCACGATCCAGTCGGTCGCTGGCGGCAGAGGGCGCCGTCTGTCCTCGGCCACCACGCGCGGCGCATCGGGCGCAACAACAGGCAGCGACGATCGGGACAGCCACTGGCTGCTGCCGGGCATGTTGCCAAAGACGAGCCCGAGAAGGTCGGCGTCGTTCCCATCGGGGGCAAAGACGGGGATTTCGGCTCATGGACCAGTCTGCCGCTGCACATGCAGATGATGCCAGGCGCGGTTGCGCAGAGTTCCCAAGATTAGGCTTTCAAGGCCCCGAGCCGCGCGGAACGCGTTTGCTAAACCTCGTCGTTCGATTATTCCAAATGAGGCGATTGGCACACTGCTCCACAACGTGACGATGCAGCTCCACCTGGATGAGATCAGGATTGGGTCAATAGTTCGAGCACACATAAAGGAAAGGCTTGACCGGAAGGGTCAGTCATGGAAGCACCTGCGGGCATCAGCCGGACGCGATGGTCAGTATCGGACACCAGAGTGCTCCTCGAGCTCGGGCGATCCGCATTCCGGTTCTCGTCGTACACGCTGGTCGGGACACGACGGTGGAGTGCTCCGCGCGCCCCATCGACGCGCAGTTCGGTTCGGGCAGCGTCACATAAGCTGGTCAGGATAGGACGGCGGGGTCCCCCTCGAGCCCTGCCAATCCGCTGCTCGGTTCGGTTCCCGTCGAACAAGCTGGCCAGGATCGGGCGCCCGAGTGCCCCTCGAGATGGGGCGCCCCGCTCCTCAGCAAGAACTCGCACGGACGCCGTCGATCAACAATGGGGGAAGCGCTCCTCAGGGCCAAGGAGACGGCCCGCGACGAGCCGCTCGAGCCCATCACGGCAGGGGATGCGAGGAGGGCCGCCCGAGGCACGCGCAGCAAGACAGGGCTGGACCAGAACGTCGTACGCCACTAGATATCGAATATTTGCCAGCGGATGGCCTAGCTGCGCTCGCGGCGATGATGGACACGTTCGAGACTACACCCATTCGGCCGCATCAGACAGCTCATAGCGGGCAAGCTGTAATCCAAAAACTCTAAACGAGACGTCATCAATAGTGTAATATGTATGGCGGTCCGGCCGCGGCCAGGCATTCGAGCGACGCGTTCGCGAATGGCGCAGCCTTGTGGAGGCCGAATGGAGGTCAGCCACCTGAGGTAACAGCTCTGTGGCGGAAGCCTTCCACTGCATGGTGCAGGACGAGGCTGCGGGGTGTCTCGAGATGCCCACTGGCCACGGCTTGTTGGACATCAAAAGGTTTTACGACGGCATCGGGTGGGACTTGCTGACTCATGCTACTCTGCGATTGGTTCCCCCTCAAGCTGTTTTATTTTCGGAGTTGACCCAGTGCGCGGCCGCGCGCACGCTGCAGAAAGTGTGGGCAGCATGCCGACCATTCTTGGTGGACCGCAGTATTAGCCAGTGGCCCAGGTCAGGCACCAGGCTTGCCAAATGCATGACGCATTTTGTGATGGCCAATGTGTCCCGGGACCGCCCCCGTCTTGGGCATGGGGTTGGATGAACGATGTGGCCCCAGGTTTTTTTTTCCAGAATCCAATACGACGGCAGCAACTGATGTGCATGGTTGCATCCGTGAGAGTTGTGATGAGTTTGCCAAATGGCACCTGGATGGTTCGCCCACATGTGCAGTTGTTCGCACGCCGCGCAAGGACCCCAGGGCGGTAGCGAGGAGGTTTGCAGGCAAGGTGCTCGTTGTCAGGCCCAGCATCAGGCTGCTGACTTGGGCATTGACCGGGGAGGAAGCAGGAGAACGGCTCGGTCCACCAAAAAGTAGAAGAAGTAGTAGTAGCAGCAGCAGCAGTAGTAGTAGTAGTAGTAGCAGTAGTAGTTGTAGCAGGAGTAGTAGTAGTAGTAGTAGTAGTAGTAGTAGTAGTAGTAGGTAGTAGTAGGTAGTAGTAGGTAGTAGTAGTAGTAGTAGTAGTAGTAGTAGTAGTAGTAGTAGTAGTAGTAGTAGTAGTAGTAGTAGTAGTAGTAGTAGTAGTAGTATAGTAGGAGTAGGAGTAGTAGCAGTAGTCGGAGTAGGAGT